CAATTCGGAGTATCTAGTCTTCTGTAATCAGTAACTAACTTTTATTCGCAATATCTAGTCCTGTGTTAGCAGTATCTAATTATTTGATCTTTTAGAAATAGTAGCTAATCTTCTTCCAGCGGTATCTAGTCTTTTGTCTGCAATAGGATATTATTTTAATGTTCCAAGGCTACAGGAATATTATTTTCAGCCACCGTTTTACTGCTAGGTCCCCTTTATTAAGTCAAAAAATTTCAAAAAAATTATGTTAAATTGAGTCTGACTACAAGAAATTCAAAGAAAACCTACGAATTACAACAAAAACCATGAAGATCTTTCAAATTGCAAGAGAATTGATAGAAAATTTATATAGGGAGTGATCTGGTAGGTAATCTCGAACCCTTTTAAGAGCCCTCGATCAAGGGCCGAGCTGAAAGCGAACATCGAAGATCAAGTAAAGAGCGAAGATGGTACGCGTCGAGAACAGATGGCTTGGTACCCATTACCAATATTTATACACATAATAAACCGGATATTGTTATATTATCGACTATGGAAGCTAGAAAACGTGTTTTTCTTCTGTAATTATCAAAACTTCTGTGTGTTAAACATAAAACAAAAAGTGTTTTCTTTAATATCAAATAAAGTTGTGAAGTTAGGTGAGAAAATGTAAACAAAAACCATTTAAGAATGAAGTGTTGTCATCGTAGGAGACGTTATCTCGAGGTGAAAAACGACCACCACGCCATTATCGGTCGCCTCTCTTTCTCGTAGTCCGCATGTTTTCCGCGTTTTCCGCATTTTCCTGGTAAATTAAGTCTCGCCGTTGCATTACGGAGATTGCACCGTGTTGAAATTGCATTTGCGGCGTCGTAAAAACTATCGCGCCTCGAGGCTATGTGGGCGCCATCTCGAAGCGACGTAAACGACTTGCTTTTCCAACTGAGAGGAAAAGCGTATATTTACACGACTGCTAACATCTACATCGGCTCCATCTATCGGATCCGTACAAGTTGTGTACATTTTCCCGATTGCGTTTCATTTTTAATGTTTTATGTGTACCTATAATTTCGAAAGAATAAGGAAATTTTAACAGATTAACTTAAATTAATGGTAATCCAAAATTTTTTTGAAACGTTTTTTAGCGAAGCTTTTAATGTTAAAGTTATGTTTCTAGGATAATTATTTAATTTTTGCAAAAAAAGAATTGAACCTTACTTAATTCGAAAAAATTGAAAGTGTTATTGTTAATGTGTCTTTTTTTATTATTTTAACGATAAACGAGTCTGAACTTGGTCCGGTAAATAGGAAATCCGGTCAAGTTGTTAATCCCGTCCAGTAGGAAAGGGAGATAACGAGAAAGAGGTTGGAAGAGAGGGAACAACTATTAAACCGTCGCCGATGGTATCTGCTGCAAAGTGCAAGGTTAGGTCGACCGGTCTAATATCGTTTTAATCGGGGGCGCGTTCGTTCCGGGAGCGGCATAATTCGGCAACTTCACTCGCAATTCAATTATCTCTCTCTCTACCTTCGCGGCCCTAATAGTTCAAGAGAAGCTCGCTTTCAAGCTTCCGTCTACCTCCGCCAGAATCTCGGCATAAAGGAAGAACGAACAATTCGGCACATTGATCGTAAAGCGAATGAAAGACCACCCCCTTAATGCCATTTACCATCACCTCCTGTTGACTTATTGAAGCCACTTTTATTGATGTCTTTCAGGTATATAGTCGAATTGTAATAAAGTTTTTGAATAGAAAAGTCCTTCTAAATCAAATTTCTAAAAAGAAATAAATGGAAAATATCTAAAATTAAATCTGTGTATCAAAATTCATCATCAACCAAAAAAAGTAAATTTTTTTTGTTTTAATTTAAAAGAAAATGACAAGATTTTATCCGATGACATAATAAAATTGAGCTCAGTAATTCATCATTTATCTCATCTATCTACGACGCTCTTAAACAAAGAAGAAAGAATCCTACAAGATGTACTGCAGAATAAAGGCTATACGATAAGGGATATCTAGCAAGCCACCAAACTACGCAAAAAAAAGAGAAGACTCGGTAAGTACAACACTAGTCGATTTTATTTGCCTTCCTTATATTTCAGGTGTGGCGAATTGCAAGGTGCCTGTAGAAGTACGATACGGTACGGTCAGCAAAATACAGAACGCTCTTCTGATAGCTAAAGACAAACTAACCCCATTCAAGAGAGCCCTAGACGCCCGTATCGGCAATCATGAAATTGCGGGAAGTATTACGTTTGCCAAATTGGACGTAACGTCGAGTGCCGCATCGAGGAACATGAGAGGGATGTCCAACTGAATAAGATTCAGCAGTCGCTAGTCGCAAAGCATTGCCACAAAGAGAAGCACTCCATAGGTTTCAATAAGATCAACGTGTTAAGAACCGGACCTTCTTTCCAAAGGATAACAAGAAAGGCGACAGAAAAATTTAATTTTAACCAACATCGTGGACTAATGCAACTTTATCTTATTGTTAGTAAATTAGGGTTAGATCCTGTCGTGCCCTCCAAATAATTTGGAATTTAAGATATGAGTTTGCCATTTCGACCAAAGATTTGGAATATTAGTTCTTTTATTGTCGCTTCTTGTGAACATTTTTATTAATTCCACATGGCTTCTTTATTCGCTTTGGACAGTCTAGGATTCGTTACAGTGTTTAGAATTACTTAGGAATACATTTAAATTGTTCCTAACATTCATATCTTCTATGTGAACCTAAAAAATTTTAGTTCGTTTACGGTATAATTGATATTACAAAAGAAAATTAACCTTATTCAACATTCCTTCGCGGTATATTTGGCAGTTGAAAAGAAAACTAACTCTATGCACTCTTAAATGCAGTATTAATCTGGATCATATTGTCGAATCTGTGATTCCCCTATTAGTTCAAGCATTTCACAAGATTTTAGATACAGTAGGAAAGTAAAATATTTTAATGTCGATGTTGTTGTCTTATAACTTGTTAGTTAGAATTTGTTTTGCCTTCAAATTTTCGCGGATATAGAACGATCGCTCCAGCATTCATCACCTCGACTAATTCCACATGGCTTCTTAAGGCGGGAGATATAGTCGCTTTGGACAGTCTAGGATTCGTTAAAGTGGTTAGAATTACTTGGGAATATATTTAAGTTGTTCCTAACATTCATATCTTTTATGTGAACCTAAAGAATTTGAATTTCTTCACGGTATAATTGACATACAAAAGATAACTAACCTTGCTCCTTAGAATAACTAACCCCTATCTAAGATTTCTTAGCTATAATGTTAAAATAATATAAAGTTACATGAGTTTCAAACAATAAAAACTATTTTTTTTCAATTTCCATTGAGTTACCGGCTAGTCTGCAATTCCAGGACCATACAATAAACCTTTCGTTACTTCATAGAATGAACTTTACATCCGCAAGTGTTCTTTTCGTGCTTTCTGAGCTTCTATGGACTGATTGACTGACTGGAGCAATTCCTTGCCAAATAATTCAGTGTTTATCCATTTTATCGGCATATATTTTGGCTTGCTTACCAAAAATAATATTCAATGAATTCATTATTTCTAAAATGGCTCCTTCATTAAACAGGCTAGCCGCAATAAGTAGAAATTTCGACTATTTTCAAGTCGGAATGTAAGTGCTTGGGGATCAATCGCCAAACCGTCGAGTAGAATTCTGAGTATGATCTCTCAAACATCTGACTAGCAAATTATCTCGAGATAGATCTTTATAAGTTGCCAGTACATGTTTTTGATAATTGGATGAAGTGGTAAAGGATGCTTCACTTAATGATTCGATCCAGTTGTTTTAGCTTTTTGCCACTCGCACCAATTCTCAGCACATAGCGGACCCTACTGATGTCGTTATCGCTAAATTTCTGCGAATAGCCAGGCCATAATATGTACTCAGTTTTCTTATTAGAGCATCTGTCAATTTTTCTTTCCCTCCAAGATTGTGTGCTTTTCTAAAGTTTCAGAGTTAAGACTCATTAGAGAAAGTTTTTCCAACATCATGTTTAAGAACTTTTTTATGAAAAGATTTGTTTTAACGCTACATTATCAAGCAAGATTATATCACAAAAAGAATGCACTATCTCACTTAGACAGATTCTGTCATCACTTTTATTCAATAAGGTGAGAAAACGCAAGGATATAATTAATAAAATAATTGCTGTTATTAATACGTTTGCTCTTATCTAGAACAAGGTGTTACTACTTAATAAAGTGCTTAATAATTGCCTGGATCAATTTCAATTAATATTGGTTAGAGATAAATTTAATAACAAATTCAAATAATATGCGTCATTAGTTTTGCATTCACCATAAGTATTGGAAGGCGAAACAAAATTTGCTAATATTTACTTGCTCATTTGAGTTAGTCATCAATATTTGGCAAGTTATTGAACAAGGTACTAATATTTGAATAATGCATCAAACTATAAGGGGGATTATTTATAATATCATTGAATTAATTAATTAAATTAATGATAGAATTTATAATAGAATCTAAGATCTATTAAAATTTGAATGTAAATAGGTTTCTGTTGATAAATAGATGTTCTAAACACCTTAACCTTAATTAAAGCAGTTTGTTTGGAAGCATCGCATTCATTAATTCTAAATCAACATCATTAGACCGGTTTACACAACTTCGTACACTAATTAAGGTGATAAAGGTTTACCGTTATGTGGATGTTATCAACGAGCCGACGTGGGTATAAAAATAAAATTAACCCACTTTAATTGGCCCCATTGGTTTTTCAGTTTCGTTATCGCCAACTAATTAAATTTTTTTAAAAAATCCCAATATTTAAATACAAAATACATGAATATATGAATAATAACGATGTTCGTGTACCTACTATTTCGACTTTATCTAATCTAAAAACCACTTATCGAGAATAAATACGATCTCGATATTCGATCTTACTCATTCGTCTTTTTACATTTTTCCCATCGCGACAGAAAAGAAAAAAAAATTGAATAGAAAAATATCTTCTTGGGGTACTTACCTGAGAATGATCACCTTGAAAATCGGTCCGGATAAGCTTTTTATGATCGCGGAGGCGTTCAGGTGGCATCTTCCGTGAAGCACCACCCCATTTACCTTTTTATAAAAATGGAAAAAAAAATGGATTAGTAAACTAACCTGAATGTAAATAGACGTTTGATGGATTTTCGCCTATTGAGACGCATCCCGGTATTTGCACCGCGTTCCGCCACAGTGCAACACGTGTATAAACGCGCCTTCACCCAAATGAAAAAAAATTACACAAACCGGCGGCGTTCGTGCGTAACGAGAAATGCGAATCAACTCGCGGCTAATACGAGTGTTCTACTATCGCGTCGTGTTGTTACGTTATCGATTACGGAAATTCGCGGTTTTTATAACATTATTTATAAAGTTTGACGAGCTACATCAAATAGGACATGAAAAGTATCGTTTCGAAACTAAACTGAACCCATGGTGTTCGCGGTCTCTTTCTCGACCGGTAGTAATTGAGATGGGCGCAATTATTCTAGAGGTTAACATTGAGAAAATTGCTTTCTTCGCACGTGGGTGTCGCTCCGGCAGCAAAATTACGACTGTTTGTCCTACTTGCTACTATAGTTTATCCGCTTACCAGGTTTATTAATAGAAGGAACCATTATAAAAAAAGGGTTCAAATAAAACTTTTTAACACATCATATATTCAATATAACAAAACATTTAGAAGGTCACAATTTTATTTTTTGATCAGATTTTGATTGATATGATAAAGCAACAATGAACATTAAAAGTACGTATATTCGTCTTGCATGATTGGAATGAAGTTATATAGTAAATCGAAAAACTGAGGTACAAGACATCTTTTACTCATACAATTATTGTCGTAGTGCATAGTCTCAAAATACATTATTGAACAGAATTGGTGGCCCAAACAATTCGCATCGAAATCAACAAAGAAGAAAGAGTACTTAATGTCAAAGTCGATGTCAGAACAACATGGAATTCACCTTTTCATATGTTCCACATTTGTTAAATTGACACCTATGATAAAGTACATAGTCTTTGACAACGTTAATACTACGAATATGATTAAGCTTTAATTAAGCTCCAATCCCTAGAAGACGCAATTAACATTTTATAACCTCTGAACGAACTAACAAAAGACCTATGTAGCGAAAAGGTTGTTAGTGTTAGTAAAATAACTCCAGCAGTAAGTTGCACAATCGAAGATGTACAGAAATTTGAATCCTAGTTCTGGAACTAGACAATAAATGAAAGAAATTGTATTGAAGGAGTTTACAAAAAGATTTTCAAACATTGAGAACACACAACATTTTTTCACTTTATTGGCACTTGCTGCCACATTAAAGTATTTGCACATAATTAATTCTGGCGATATCCACATCCGATTCAAGTGACACCAATGAATCCACCTTTGATTGTAAGGTTCATTACAAAACCTTAGCTCTTGAATGAATGAGGATAGATAAAGAGGAAAGTAGCAGTGATGAACTCTCTTAATATCTCCACATATTTGTCAAAAACCTTGCTGAAATCAAAAACTTGGTCAAAAGTACTTAGGAACATGCGCCACATCTGCTCTAAATAGTTGTAAAAAACACAACGATTTTAGCTCATTACAAGAAATTATTCGTAATGTAGTCAAATTGTTTAAAAGAATCGTTGGTCCAAACGACCAGCAACGAAATCAACAAACGGAAGCAGAAATTCCAGAAGAAAAAGTATTTAATGTCAACCTCGATGTCAGAACAACATGAAATTCAACCTTACATAAGCTCCGACTTTTGTTAAATTGACACCTGTGATAAACAACATCGTATTTAACAACGTGAATACCTCGGAGATGATCGCTTCATTCGATCCCTAAAAGATGCAATTATCATTTTACAACCTCTGGACGTACTAATAAAAGAGCTATATAGCGAAAAAGTTGTTAGTAAAATAACTCCAGGAGTAAGCTGCACAAACGAAGAGGTACGGAAAGTTGAATTCTAGTACTAGAACTGGACAATAAATGAAAGAAGGTATGTTGAAGGAGTTTAGAAAAAGATTTTCAAACATTGATTTTGACATGTTGCCACAATTCTGCATCCTAGCTTTAAAAATGTTCACTTTATTGACATTTGCTGCCACATTAAAGTATTTGCATATATTTTTTAATTCTAGAATCCACCTTTCATCTTTGGGCTCATCACAAAACCTTCATACATGATTCATGGCTCTTGAAAATGCATAAATGAAGATAGATAAAGAGAAAAGTAGCAATGACTAAATAACTCTCTCAATATCTCCACACAGTCGTCAGAAACCTTGCTGGAAATCAAAAACTAGGTCAAAAGTATTTAGGAACATGCGCCACATCTGCTCTAAGTGAAAGACTTCTCTCAAAGACTGGAGCCACTATATCAAAAGCTCGAAACAGACTTAACTTTAAAAAACTTTCCAAAATTGCTATTATTAAATTGTTTGTTTAATTTGTAAATGTTAGCAAAGGAACCTATATTTTATTGTCATAATGATAAACATATTGTATAGTACCTTGGGGTTTTGTTTTTGTTATTTTACTATGTTTAGGGTACTCTACTTATGGCAAAAGTTTTATCAAATGAAAATGCTACCACCACTCACTTATGTGTTAAATAATAGATTTCCTTTAGTTCAGTAGTTTTGTAGTTCTGAACCTTTCTGTACATACGTATTCTATACAATATGTATGACCGGAAAGGTTCAGAACTGTTCGGAACTACAAACTTTACAACCAAACCAGGCCTAATGGTTAATTCAATGCAGACCACATATATTAATTAAAAAAATAAAAGTTAAATGAAAGTTAAATGAAGTTAAACTAATTTAACTAGAGAATACGGGATTTTTAATAACAGATCCACTTAGTAAAGGTGCATTTTACAACCTTCTCCGCATTTTATTTTATTGAATAGATAATTTCATTTCTTATTATATTTATTTTATTTTATTTTTTTTTATTTCACCGTTATTATTCAACACGTTATTACGCCGCTCATTATGTGACCTACTATCTATTCAAACATTTCTACTATTACAAAAGATTGTGTTCCATAAATCGATTTATCGATTTTGGTTTATCTAAGGTAATTAATACCGACATTGTTTTGCCCCCAATGAATAACGAGATCTCCTCAGGATACAACGACAATGTCATCGGAAATTAAGTTATACGATGTGGAAATGAGGCTTTGTACAAAGTTACTAGTGAGTAACATGTTTTGGTTATATTAAGCTTATTAAGAGTTAGCTATACATCTAATGAGACGATTTTAGTATTTAATACGAATTATAGTAAAACCTCGAGATAATTGATCAATATGTATAATAGATATAATGAAAATTTTTTAATTTCCACTTTAAAGACTCTGAAAAAGCACTAAGCTTTTTAGTTCTAGGTCTATAGTGTTAGTTCAATGAAAAATATACAATCTAACGCTGAATAGCAACTAAAACTAGAACTAACACTAGCATTAGAACTAACATTTAGCCGTCTTAAGAGACGTACGGCTAAACTCGACTGTTTCTAGTTCTAAGTCTAATGAGACTTGTAGTTTTAGTTATTATTCAGTGCTAAATTATTGTATTGATCCAAAACTAGAGCAACACTAGATCTAGAACAAGAAACATTCAGGTTAAAACAAAATAGTACACTGCGATAATTTTTTTTTCGTTGTTTTTACTTTTGTACGAACGATTTCGGGTGCGGAAAACCGGGGAAAAGAGTTAATCCGGCGTTTTAGCAACGGTTTGATGTACGGCGATGTGGGCGGATTTTTTTTTATATGCGAAGATAAATCTTTCATTTCGCTCCTAAAGTAAATATCTGCACCGTTCGCTTTGTTCTCCGCGCTTTAAGCTTCGAATAATATTCGTTACACTTTTTATTAGCAAATATATTATAAATATTTTATGTTAAAAACCCGATCTTATTTATTTTTTTAAACTCACCTCAAGAATTTCATCCCCAACTTGAATACCCCCCGTACGATAAGCTGCCCCCGTTGGATTGATACCGCACACAAAGACGGCCATACAATTTCTATCTTTATGTCCAGCTAGGCTCAATCCCAATCCTTGACCTCCCCTTTCCAATTGTACCATTAAAATCGAGTGGCCGAGGCTCGCATATTTCTTCTTCACTTTATCTGAAAATAGAAATAAAATGAAAAATGTAAAAGGAAAATTTTTCTGATTCAATTATTGTTTAGTTCAATAAAGAAGAGGTTATTCGATAATCATGTAATTAGAGTCCCTGGTGGTGTAACCTTTACAGGATAACGGGTCGGGAAAGTTAAACCCTCTTGCGGCGAATATCTTCGTTCGCTATAATAAAGTGCAAGGTAACGTTGATTAATCGCACTTGATATGCGCCATTGTCGTAAGAAAAGAGCCACGTTTCCACGTACCATGACATAATTAAATCTCTCTCGAATTACGTCCGCAACGCGAACGAGGTGAACAGGGGTCGATTCGAACTTTTTTAATTAAAGTTTCCGGTGTTGTTCGATGCTTTTGCATGACAATTTACACCGAACTCGAGTTGATTTCAATTTTTTTTCAATACAAAACTTTCAAATGAATAAAACTGAAACTGTTTTTGTTTTTTCTTTTTTTTTTACCAATATCACTTTTACACTCAAAACATTATAAGACTTTGTTGAAATAAGATTGTCAACTTTAACTAATACGAAATTAAAGCTAATGGAACTGTAGAGTAACCCGAGATGGTCTCAAAACTAGCGCACAATTTAATTAAGGTTTCTTCGTAAGTCTTAACTCGCTCTGTTGGTGAAATCGATATGCGAAAGCTTATGGGGTTGGCACTTACGATATAGTAGAGGCACATTTATCATCGTTTTGAGAGGTTGAAGACGTAAAAAGCGTCCCGATTTTTTTCCCTCTCACGTCTAAACAACGGCCTCTGTAAGTGAAAAATGAATAGACGTCGTCTTATCTTTTCATTTTTTCCTTCACGCGCGACTACATCAACTTTCAGTTCTCTTTTAACGCTTTTCTTGTTGTTTAATTATGCGATGTTTGTAAGCTTCGAGGATTTAATTATTTTAAACGGTGGAAATCCAACGACGGAGAATTCTTTTTTCGGTAAAAGGGAATATTAAGGGGGCTTACTTGAGAACCTTTTCCTTTTTCGTGCCATACTTTATTTAATCCTTGCGACCGGGACAAAGGACCCTAGAATACACAGAGAATTTGTTTCCTTTTTGGTTTTCAGGGTAACTTTAGATTGTCTTTTTATCCTACAACTGAAACCTTTTTCTATTAGGAAAAGGAAACTTTTTCTATTAAACGTTTCTCTTCGAGAAATTTTCTGAAAAGTTTTAACAAATAACTAAAGGTTATTTAGGCCGTTTCGCTTCGACGTTTATTGAATTGTACAGCTGCTCGGGGTTTTGTTTGGCGGTAATTCTAAAGGACGATAAATCAAGGACGAAAAAAAAAAACAAAACGAATCCGATTGATTTAGGTTGAATTCGACAAAGGTCAGCAACGAAAGACTCTAGTTTCTCATTAGAAGACTCGACTTTTATTTCGAACCAACGAATTTTAAATGTTGTTTTAAAAAAAGAAGTTAATTTAAAAAAAAAGAGGGGAAAAAAGGAAAATAAACTGATAAAGTCACCCGTAATCGTGGGTGGATGAAAAACGTCCTTTTATATCTTACTCGGGAGCAGGAATATTAAAAATTATGGTCGATTCAAGGTGGGTTAAGTTGTCGGGATTTTTCATGGACTTTTGGGTTACGGAAGCTTTTTGCTTGATGACAACACGCAAAGCTCTCAACACGGGTACGTCGGAAGTCGTAAAAGTAAAAGGAGCAAGCTTATAATAGATTGTAAAACCTTTTTTTTTTCTTGAAGAATTTTTAAAAATATATTTAGGTAATACATAGATGTAGAGATGTGTTTTAAAAGTAGTCTAAAGTCGTTATATTTTAATAATTTGTTGATTATTTTAATAGATGCTGTTGTTAAATTTATTGATCGATCAGGAATTTATATACTCCGGCGTTCGGATGGTTTGTCAAAGGTCATATTTCGACCTCCTCGATTTGCTTTGACACATCATTCTAACATATATTATACAATAATATTATATATGTTATACGCAAAAACTTTTGAATATATAAATTTGAGCTAGTAAAAATGCGAAAGTTTTTAGAGTGGTGTTTTATTTCAGATGCAAAATTGGTAAATTTTAGGATGTCTTAATCCATGTTGCTAAACGCCCAGTTTAGTTGTGGGGTGCTTTGATTACATCACGAAAAGATTATTATTGATCTTAATACAATATGTAAAGCAGCAATATTTATGCCAAATGCCTAAGAAACCTAGAATACCTAGAACATTAAAATATAATCATTAAGTATTAGTACAAAATAAGCTGTCACATCGTTCGTTTCGAATTGTAAACTCTATTGGATGCCCTACACAAGCTCTTCTTAGTTGTACATTCTTCATATAACTATATTTTTGATGGCCTTGTTCTCCAAATAGAGATAAACATTAATTGGTACATCTGCTGATGAGATAACCAGCCTTTGGCTTCCGCTACTATCCGCTTCCAGTCCTTTCTAGTTTCATCGACCGTCTTCCAATTCTTGATCGTCAGAATTTTTGCCAACGTCCTCCATCCTACCACTTTCCTTGGGCATTCTTATAATGTATCCAGCACACCTTAGTCTTTGCAATTTGATTCGCTATACAATAGAGAAAGCGAGAGCCGTATTTGTCAAAAAGGCATAAGCTTTTAGGACCCAATCCCTTACGTTAACTACAACAATTAGGTTCCTTCGTTTTACGTCTTTTCTGTCTTGATGTATTGAGTAGAATTATGGACTTTAAAGAAAGGAACTACCAAAAAATTGACAGCTGTTGAAATGTGGCTTTATCGCAGAATCTTAAGAATTTCATAGCTAGAACATGTATCTAAAGAAGAAGTCCGTGGCAGAATGAAGAAAGACATCGAATTAACTACAATAAAAGCTTGCAATCTCGAATACTTCGGTTATCTCGTTACAAAACATATTGCAGAGTAAGATTCCTGGGAAACGTGGTCTGGGCCGACGGAGAAATTTATGGATCAAGAATTTTTCAACCACAATAACAGGACTATTCCGTGTAGCAGTAAACGAGGTTGTGGTAACTAGAATAATCGCCAACATCCGAACCGGATAAGCACTACAGAAGAAGGAGTATGATTTTGTCATCGACCTTAAGCTGATGGCATTCTGCACGGATTTCTGATTTAAACCCTTGTTGTTAGTCTGTTAATAAAATACATTCACTTCTTTTGTTATTACGATAATAATAGATGCAAAAAAATAAATTATAAAAATTTCGGTAGGTTCAATTTGCAAGAAAGTTTTCTATATAAAGTATTTGTTACTTTTAAAGACTCTATATAAAAAAGGAACGCACCTAATTGTAGCTAATTGCTCCTAAGGGAAGGTGATGTTCACTAAAATTACTTCAAATGGGTTTCCTCCGTATTGCGGTGTGTATTTATGACCTTTCTGTAGTAAAGGAAGGAAATATCGTAAATTACTGGTAACGTTCACTGGGAATTAATTGATATTTACAGCTTCGTTTTGCACAGGCTGCGGAAATTGGGTTCGCATAAACAAAACAGCGGGTTGAGTATAATTTATTTATCAAATATAAACTTTTAAATAAAACTTCTTCGTTACCATTAATTCTGTAGAGACCCTCCACTTCATGGCAATATTGCACGTATCGTAATCTCGGTTTTTAGTCATCAATCATACTTTAAAAACGATGAAGAGACTCTTATAAAAGATTTCGCGATGGAATATAAGATGCAAATTTTATTTTTGAATTAATTTTTAGTATTTTGGTGCATTTTTTTGGGATGTATTGTGCAATGTTTGTTGAATTGGAAGTTTGTCATTTGCAGATTGTACGAGCATAAATATGTCGCGTCCAGCCATCTGGATCGGGCGTTAATCCTCGTAACGGTGAAGTGAATGCGCCATTGTCCAAGTCCACTAATTGGAAACTCTATCGCGAACTAGTCAATGGGCCAGTCAATTTTATTGAGTCGTTAAATAATGGACACCTGATTCAGTTATTTTTTGAGTGCCATAAAAATGCCACAAAATTCATTTCAACCCCATTTATAAAAAATTCACGTTGAAACGTATTATTTAAAAAAAAAACGTACGAAAATAGATATCTGATTTAACTTTCCGGTTTTTGAAGTGTAGGAGTGAAAATATCGGATACGATTCAAATTTTTACTCCTCGTTTCGTCCCAATTTCGCGCTTCGTTACAGCCGGTATCATTTTACCCTCAACTTTTCAAAATAGGATATTTGAATATAGCTATCGTTGCGATTGCGTGATGGGCCGTCAATTTCGATTCGTGGAACGAATAAATTTTACAACGACGCCGCTATAAAGCAATGCGAAAAGGGAAAATATATTGCGGGGATTCCATGAACCCGGGAGTTGGTTGTCTGAGAGAGTCCGGTGCCTCAGAAAGCTTCCCATATCATTGGACCGATGTTGAAATATACATATCCAATATCTAGAGCTTCGGATTTAAGCCGAATCTCAAAGTCCGCGTTATTATACTTTGAATATCAAGAAGTGAAAAGAAGGAAGTACGGGTGTTTTTATGCCTTTTCAATATGTAGGTGACAGTAGAACAGTAAAACCTAGATATAATGGATTAATACGAGGAAGGGAGTGTTTTATGAGAAAAATTATTAATTTTAAAGCACACAAATTCGAACAGCTATCCACACCGTTGCATTCTTTATTAATTAATTAGTTCTACTTTTAGTTGAATGAAAAATATACAACAATAATGCTGAATAATAACTAAAACTAGAACTAATACTAGTATTAGAACTAACACTAGAAATATTCGCGTTTAGCCTTGTGTCTCTTAAGACGGCTAAGCCTGAATGTTGCTAGGTCTAGTGTTAGTTTTAGTTCAATAAAAATATACAACAATCTAGCGCTGAATAATAAGTGAAACTAGAACTAACACTAGACCTAGAACTAACATTAGACCTAGAACTAGAATCATTCGGGTTTAGCTGTCTTAAAAGACGTAGGGCTAAATCCGAATGTTTCTAGTTCTTGGTTTAGTGTTAGTT